CCCCCACAGCAGGGGGGGTCGGGCAGGGACAGGGCCCCGGGTTGCGGCCTCGTGCCGGGCCGGAGCACCCAGGGGGGGAAGCGCTTGCGAGGCTTTCGCAAACAGGCCGTCTCCTTCCCCCCAGCCATCTCTTCTCTCCCGCTCAACCCTCTGAATCGTGGAGCAGGGCCTGGTTCCAGCAGGCCGCAGAAGGCACGTCGGCCCCTTTTCCCCCGCCCAGCATCCGACGTGCCATTCAAACCAAACAGTTCAAACCGAGCTTGCCCCTGACCTATCAGGTTTGCGCTGATACTGCAGTCACGCTTTGAGATGGAAAGCCAATGGCTTTCAGCTGATAGGAAAGCACTGCATTTCGTTCACCTGCTCAGCACATCGCTAAAATGAGCACAGAACCGTGGCATAACAAGCAGTTCGTTACAGTGAGACACTACATCCCTGTCAACGTGGGGATCACAGAAACCAGCTAGACACCTCTCCCTTACAGGCCCGCAGCTGCATCCAAGGGCAGGTCTCGGCTGCTGCCCAGGACCAGCCACACCTGTCTCTCCCGCTTACCTGGCTGTTGTTTGTCTTTTCTCAGTTGGTACAGAACCCACCACCTTGGCACAGCATGAAAGTGCCTAATCAGCTGGCATGAGGGAGCGATGCTGAAGCCAACCCCAGACTTCAAACAACTTCCTGCTTTTATCCCTGCCTCAGCCAGAACGCTGGTCTTTCACCAGACGCTTTTAGTATTTCAGACCAGAACAAGGGCCTGCCTCAGTTTCAGGTACACCCCACCACGTTAAACCCATCTAGCCCCAAGGAGACAGCAATGGTTAGAGTTTCTTCCTGCAAGGCAGAAGTACAGTTCTCCGGTCAGGGAAGAGAAACCTACGAAGAGAAACCTACATACAGAGAAATTAACTGAAGTAGTTTAGTAAACAGACTATTTGTTTAAACAAGACTTTATTGAAGACATTTTAGAAGTTTATGTACAAAACAACATTCCCACCCCCATATCAGGATGTTAGTCACCCACTGGGACGAAAGCAAGTGCCTGGTGTGTGCTGTCAACCTGGGGACACTCAGAGGTTGCTGAGGAATTTACAGAAGTACCAAATCCACGTAGTTTAGAGCTGGGCAATTTCAGCCTTGGCTCAGTTAGGACTGAAGGAAACCTAAGGACCTTTTCCAGATACATGTCTCCAGCAGACTGAACATACTGGAATCTGACAGCCTACACTGGCCTTACTCTGAGGTCAGGTCATTTACTTCTGCAGAGAGCGAGAGGCCCACTTTGGTTTTAGAAGTGAAGAGGAACCAGCCCCTGGATTTAATTTGCGGTTTTTAATCTGTTTTAGATGGTTCCAGGAGATGATACCCATTACTAAGAGCACAGTAGTATTTGCAGGAAGCCTTAGAACAGAGCAGTAGCAGTACTAAGTAAAAGAGTCAGCCACCTCACTTTCCAAATACACCTAGAGAGAGGCTGGATATCAGACTGGCTATTTCAACTAGCGTGTAAGAAAACCCTAGAGACACAGACATTAGTGGCACGAGTTAAATAGTGGCTGACATGCTGTTTCTGTAGCATACTGTGCACTTCTACCATGGTAGAGTTTCCCCTTGCCAGTCCAGGAAGGAACCATTTTCTTTTTCACCAAGGCGGTCCAGAACGGAGAGAATACCTGGGATAGCCTCTTGCACCTGCATGGGAGCCTAGAGCAAATCAAGCTTAGATTATTACTGGGACTAGCCTACAGAAGAGAATGAAATGCATTTGAGGAGTTACCAAGTGGGATGTATTTTCATGTTTCATAGCGTGCCTCTGCAGCACATGGACGTGTATACTGTACAGTGGGTTCTTGCTCAAGGGTTGGGACAACAAGGGAGTCACACTTTCACATTTTCAGAGATGTCACTTACCATGTTCCCACCCATGTCTGTCTGAAGCCAGCCTGGATGCAAAGAAATACAGAGAATTCCATCCGATTTCAAGTCTGCAGCAAGACACCTGGTGATCATGTTCAGTGCAGTCTACAAGTGTGGAAACCATCTATTAGTGTGCTGGTTTTACAAACCTTGAGCAAGACCTTAAGCCGAGCTAATTAGCACCTCCCCTCCACCATGCTGTCTCCTGACAAATGAAGGGGCAGTAACAGTATCACAGTAACTTATCCGGACTTACTGGGGGCTTCATTCTCAGAGATATCTGCTCAAAAGAGAAGCATTGTGAAAGCTCTATTGCCGTAAGCTTACTGCCCAAAGATGAAACTAAGTTATGATGGAAGATGAAGTAGCATCTGAAACTCCTGAGGAGCTGTGGGGAAAATAATATTGACATAAGGACTCTGTTTTTCTGCAATAATCACTACACAAACATTCAGTTTTTTACTTCTGAACAGGGAAAATAAGCATATTAACAGCTTATGAGTAGGTGGTGTAGGAGAAACTGAATGTCTAATCTTGACTATTTGTACAAACTCAGTCTCTGGATGTGACAAAACTAAAAACTCCACCTCTCACTAACTAGCATTACCACGTACAGGTCAGCACACCTTTTGTTGAGTTTCGTGCCTGCTATCTTGCTTGGAGTGGAGAGGAACACAGCTAATAGGACACACACTTGATGGCATCAGTTCTTCCCTGGATGCCAAGTCCCTCTGAAATGGATCTATGTCAGAGCAGTGATGGAGCATTTGTGAGCCTGTTCTTAAGAAGCTGGCGTGCTTGCTCCAGATGTAGGGTTTTCACAGGTCCCATTTCCACCCACATGAAGAACAAGAACAGTTCCCGTGTCAGCCTATCCGAAGAAGTGCTGCAAACCTCAGATCATCATCTTAAGCTCAGAGTGGTCTTTAACTCACCGGCCTGCCCTCACCCAGTGAGCACAGCCCCGGGAAGCCTACAAACCTTTGCTATCCTGTAGGGGTAGACCTTGAGGAACATCTCATTTGCCTGGACGAGTTGCATGGAGGCAGCAAGAGAGGACATATTGATAATAGCAGCTCTATGGCAGCCCATTCCTGTGCTCAGCTGGGCTGCCTTCCTCAGAAGGGGTAGAAACGCCTGTGAAAACAAGAGTTTGTTTTAATTTGGTCAGCTTGCTCTTGGCCCGTTCAAGGCAAGCCGGACTCTCAGGTTCTGCTCTATGAAGAATTACGGTACAACTCTTTGCCACCAGCACAGAATGGTGATGGCTCCCCAGACAAGCTGACCATAGGGAACCTTTCTGTAACAGCCAGCTGTAAGTAGCAAGGACCTTCAGTCTCTTCTGCCCACCTCCTAGCCCCACCTGTCCACTGAAGTGGGCTCATACCAGATGGATTTAAATAAAGAGAAAGATCCTTGATAGAAAGGATCTCTTGCTGCTCTCTAGGCATGCAGTTTGATATCAGACCTGTATCTGTGCAGTTCCAAGGTGACGAATGCTTGGATTACACGTCCAGCTCACTAGCGGAAAAGCCTCTTATAGTACCGTAGATTAAGCACATTCCTCCCAATTCTTACCTTGGTGACCATCAGCTGGGCAACTGTATTGGTTTCATAAATGGTGAGCATTGTCTCTGCTGTGACTTCTTCCAAGGAAGCAAGCACATTGATGCCAGCGTTGTTAATGAGGCAGTTCAGACCTTTGTCTCCCACAATTTCTTCCACTTCCTTGACTACTTTCTTGATGCTGTTTTCACAGACTACATCTGCACAGAGGAGCCAAGAACAGCCACAGTGAACAGTGTGGTTCAAATGCCGTCTGCCCCTATACAACACATGCTAAACCAAAACTAAGGCATTAGTCTGAATGGGGACATTTAGGCAGCACACAGAGATGCCAATGCACGGAACTCTTTACATAGATTATGTTTCCCCAGTGTTATCTTAAGATGAGGGTGATCGTTTTCAGCTGCTGGAGGTCATGTTCTGGTCACCCAGGAGACCAGTTTCTTAAGATGCACTCACCTGACTGAGTTGAACATACTTCTGTACAAGCCCTTTACTCACCCAGTTGGAGGAGCTTGATATTGCTGTATTGCTTGCTAAGCTGCTGGAGTTCCTAGGAAGAAGAAATTATTTGTGTTATCTTTTATATAAATATATATATAATATATACGTGTGTGTCTATTACGTAAAACAGTTTTGAGATCTGCACTTCCAGAATTGTAACTGCCATTTATTTTCAGAACTGGACTGAAGGCAGCGATACTACTTTGTTTTCCAACCTGCTGAGCAGCTGGCCTGAGAGCAAGATCAACTGCTCCAAGAAACTGGACTCTTCACCTGCTTAGTCGAGATACCGGCACGCTAGATTACAGTGCTCGTTCTCAGTGTGTGCAACTCAAGGGTGTGTTTGCAGTGTAACCAAAGGTCTTCAATCAAGCGGCTACCGTTGCCAGTTCCACAGCAGACCTGGTGCTCAGACTGCATTCCAAGCCAGTAATTCCCCACTTCTGTAAGAGCAGCGTAATTCTCCTGAAGCTCAGCTAGTGCTAGACATCGGTTCAAGGCAACAGGAATGCTTAAGAAAAATCATTTGGATTTACTGTTTGCAGGAAAAGTTTCCTAGTAATTTTCCCATGGAAATCCTGTTTCCCAGCACTCTCATTAGCGTCAATTCTTGTAACCAAAGGTAAAGCACACATGAAATTGGTTACATACACAGCAACTGTCCATGGGAACAACTTTCTCTCTGCTAGGTAGCTATAATTCAGTCATCTGTCTACTACCTCTCAGCAGAAGAATGACTTGGAGAAAATTAGTACTATACTGGTGTTGCTCCTGGACAAAGTGTGTCCAAATTGGATTTATAGGCCAAGCTGGAATACTTAGGTTTCTGTGCCATGTAGCCAAGTGGGAAGTGTGGCCAAGTGTAACAGATGGGTTACATACTCCCAGCCATGTTTAGGCGACTGAGCAACATTCCAGCTCAAGCAAATCCATTTCTTTAGGAGCCCTTTGGGAATAGGGGTCAGGAGGGCTGAGTTTGAAAGAGTGCTTCTTTGCCACTTGGAGACACTTAGGGACTCCATGTCCGCTGTCAAGCTATAATGCATTACATCTTTTATCTCAGTTCATACTCTGCAGGATTCTCTCCAGACTTGTTTAGAAGATTTGTTCTCCCACTGAGGACAATCTACAACTGCAGTTAAGGCTATTAAGGGGAGGGGGAAAGAAGGGGAACAAGTCAGAAGCACAAAACCAGAAGACGTTCCTTCCCTTGCATAGGGCTCAATGGGACAGTTTTCAACAGATTAAAGGCCCAGAACACACTATCTTGTTTATTGATAGTCAGGCATGAAATAGTTCTGCCATGTCAAGGCCTGCAATAATTATATGGCTTTGGACTGTCCACTGGACTTTAGTTTGGCTGTATCACTTACTTGATAATAAACTCCAGAAGTGTTCTGGCTTCTCGAGGTTTGTTCATTTATTTATAGTCAGATTGTTTTACTCTCTGACAGGAACAAGCTACTAACTTTTGCTAAGAGGCCAGAGATGTTTTGTGTAGTGACAGCAACCGAGAGGCTTCTGAAGTGAGTAAGCAAGCAGTATGTTCAATTAAGAACTCAAAACACTGTAGCATTAAGCATTCTCCAGAACATAAACAGCATGAAATTACAATTGCTGCATGCAAATCAGGTTTAAAATTCAATGGTTTTTCCATTTAGTTAATTACTTAGTTAACAAGTGACTCCCACTTCAGTGGTTTAATTTTCTCAGAAGCAGCTTCCAGGCATAAAGCTAACTTAGACAGCTTTGGTCTTCAAGAATGTTACTCCACCTGATATAAATATAAGCTGAAAAATCCAGTTAGGAAACCTAAAAGTTGCAGAAAAGCCTATTCTTTTCCCTACTGTGAGTAGAAGGAACTTGCGGAGAGGAGGACTGAGACAAGTTCATGGCAGCACAATCAGATACAGCCATTTCAATCCACCAGCCATATATGCTGCTTCTCCTCTTCCCGCACCCCAAGTAGTTTTGATCAAAGAGATCAGAAGCCTTCTGTGTCCAGAGAACTCTGAAAATATTACGGGAATGCATGCATATACTAGTTATTGACTCCCCACTGAAGGGATAAGCTTTCCTGAAACTCACTGTGGTCATCTGTCAAATGCCTTGTTCTCCTCCCATTAAAAACAAAACCAACCCCCCCCCCCCCCCAAACAAACAAACAAACAAACCAAGCAACAAAACACGAACCTACACCACCAAAGTTGTCTGCAAGGGTTTTTTGCAGCAGACCTGTGCTCACTTTTTTTGAGCCAACATGCTAGCGCAGAGGCACTGCACCCAGGACAAATAGGTTAAAACCCTGGGAAGACAAGATCTCAGAGCACCGTCTAACAGAGCCCTGCAGCCCATAACGGCGATGCATACATAAGTGAGCTCGTTGGTACTGCTGTTTGAAGTGCAGCTTGTATTTTAATGTCAGTTTACGCAGTTTTGTTTAAAGACGGTAGGTACAGCCAACATATCCCAGGCTAAGTCATTTTTAATTAGTCTACTGTGATAGCCAATTTAAAAAACAAACAAGACAAAAACAACAACAAAAAACAACACAACCCCCTAATACTGTGTTTAGCATAGTAGCTCTAGAAGTGCTCCGCACCTGAATAGTTACCCCTGAGAATAAACTCTTAGGGATTCCAAGAAAAATTTAAACTCTGATTAGCATCTGTTGTTTCCTGCTTGCTGATTTTAATTATGATTAACAAAGAGTCAGCCTACTCCAATTTAAACAAGATCCTCTGGCACTCAAGGCTCCTGATACAGATTCATCAGTACACAGGATATTTATTGCTAGATTTCAACCAGGAATGTTATGTTGTCTTTGTCATTTAGCAAGATTTACTTTGCCTTCTTTATGAAAGCATTATTCACTTCAGTTACAGCTCTTGGAAAGGACCTGGCCACACCAGGCCAGTTGGAAGCAACCAAGCCAAACTAACATAGCCTGTGGGCAGCTTTGTCAGGCAAAGGGTACTTGGGTATCCTTTCACATCATCCTGCTTGTGCTCAGGACAAAGTCAAAGATGTATCATATTTGCCCGTGTCTCTCTGAGACAGGCTATTCAGTATCACAGTGTACAGCCAACTTACTGTCTGATTGTGTAATACCTTACACCAAGCTGCTGCAGACTGCCCCAAATCCACAGTCCTCTCTGACTGCAGAAGAGCCAGACCTTAATGCTGTAGGAAGTGCAAAACACTTCCAGAAAAAAAAAAACCAACACTGCAATAGCCTAAAATTAGAAAGACTTCAAGAATGCCCCGTTTGCCTGATATAACACATCTATCTTGCTAGAGCACTGCTCCAGAGATTGCTCAGCTGCTCTTCCCGATAGCAGACCACATGGCTAAAATATGTAGGAAAGAAAAAACAAAACCAAAACCTGACAAAGACAGTGTGCAGAAGCACTTCAGCGAGAGCTCTGTCTGACAAGGGAACAGACACAGCACTGTTAGTAACACTATCTCCTACTTCAGAGGAAGGGAAACGGCACATTAAGCCCTGGAAGCTTTCCAGAGCCCAGTAGAGGACTCTTGAGCAGCGAGGAACTGAACGCTTTCTTGTTCACCTGGGAACACATTTGGGCTTGTGGGGAGAGCAGGAGGAACAAGAGATGCTCCTGTCCTGAGGCCCCACATTCAGCTCAGCACAGCCTCGCAGAGCCAAGCTGAGTACAGGAAGCAGTGTGAACAGATTTACACCACGGCCATTTGGATCCCTTCAGCTACCTCGCTTCCCCAGAAAGCCATCTCTTCCTTCCATACCTCAGCAAGTCAGATGCAGGGGCTACACCATCGTTAGGTGTAGTCTTAGACTTTAGGTCAGTTTTTTTCCTTTTATGAGGAGGCAGGATGCGGGGAGAAAGAGCAAGAAAGAAAAGCAGGAGGGGGAGGAGAACTACAGATGGGTTCACGAGCCCATACAGGCTGCCTAATAAAAACTGTGGTTTTGTCCATCTGGAGTGCAAAGACAGGACGTCAGGATTATTTTGCAAGAGATTTGTAGCTGCTTCCACTCTCAGTGCTGGAGCAGCCCAAGTAAAGGCAGATCAGAATCAAAGTGTGGCTGAAGGAGTCTAGTATGGTACTTTTCAAGGAGGGGCAGCAGTTATCTAGATGCGCCTGCAGGCCTGCTGCATGTTATCGTGTGATCTAAAGCCCATTTGTTAGGCAAATGTTCTGTGGAGGCCACCTAGGAGCTATTCAGCACAAGAACTCAAGTTATTACAACTTCTGCCAGCACAGACTCACATGCAAAAGCTTGCAGCTGTTCAGCATTATCCCAGGGTTAGCGAGATACAGGAGACGTGCTGCTATCTGTAGTAAGCAGAGGAAAGCAAAGTCAAACTCTTCTCCAGCATCTCTTTCTAAAGTCAGGTCCTGAGGGGCTCTTGTCTGTCCACTGTTTGGAGGACTCCAGAGTACGCAGTCATCTGTGCAACAGCACACACTCTGCTGAGAGATTCTCTGGATAACTCTTGGCTACCGGGGAATTGCTGCTGACTATTGTCCCCAAGATGGGAGCTGGATTTGCCAGTAGCTAAGCATATTTAATCACTTCTCCTCTAAAAACTGAAAGATGATTTTTAAAAGGCTTTTCATTTAAGCTCTTCCCATCCTTTTTTCCCCTCCCTGCATTCTGCAACAGGAAAGTGCTACTCTACCAAACCAGATGAGAGCAGAATTTAAGAGAACTGTCCAAAGTTGCTGTTCTCCAAGTTCATCTTCTAATCCAGGAGAGGAAGGGGGGGACAGTGCACTCATATTAAGCAGGATTTTTCATATGGTCACTTACCACAAAGCAAAGTGGGAGGAAACAAACTTAGACCGCTTGAATCACTGTCAAGAGAAAAAGCAAGCACTGGCAGCTCAGGTGTCCAGAGAAAGAACAAGGCACTCAACTTTACAGCCCAGTCTGCATGGTCAACAAAGAGGACTTAGATGGGCAAAGCCCATTTCATGTGCACTAAGACACGCCTGCAGTGCCAGCCTCTGGAGTGCAGGAACCTGAACTCTGGGTTTTCAAGATTTGACCGGAAAGTCAGTGAAGGCAAAGTTTTCTCTCTGAGAAAGAAAAGGGAAAAAAAAAAAAGAAAATCACTGAACCTTTGCCTTTCCTTACCATAGCACACTCAAACAACATTGCCAAATTGGATCCAAGCTTTGAGATAGTCAGTTGTATATGGTGCTAAGACTCCCATTGCTAGAGGCTCAAGCACGTCTGTGCTTGCCCTCTGCCAGCTAGAAGGACTAGCGGCATGGTGGAAACACACCTCAGAAGGTTAGAAAGCTTTGTGCCAACTTTATGCATTGCAGAGAGGACAGATAATACTAGTGAAACTACTACAATACCTTTAGTAAAGATTTCCCTTCCTTGTGGAGTTTCCAAACCCATCTGTTAGAAATATGCTTTCAGCTGGCTGCAGAGGTTTCTATTGATGTACTGCCAAAGCACAGCACATGGCCTAGAGGTCCTCACAAAGAACAAAAACCCACCCTGATCCACCAAGGACAAACCTTGCCCCCCCCCCAAAAAAAAACCACGCTTAGGATGCACCCCATGTGGCCTGCAGAATCACCACGGGGTTACTGGAATGTGGCTCCTGGCCAGCTTCCTGCCTACATGAGACACGACTGCCAGCAGTCCTTCCAGGTTTCTACCGCTGCAAGGAGTGACCCGGACTCTTCCCGGGCACACTGCACTGCTTGCAGGCTATTTCGTCTTCTTGTGCAGGTTCACCAGCCCTTCCTCTCAAGATTTTTAAGTCCTGGCAATGTGAAAAACTTCACAAGTTGTGTTAAGATCCATCTGTATAATGTTTCCTAGGAAGCTCTTCCTATTGAAGGAACCATTTCGCTGCTCCATGTAATTGATCCAAGATCATTATAGTGAGAAATTACTGCTGAACACAAGGGCCAGTTGGTGAAAAAGAGAACCTCCCTCAGCACCGGCTAAAGCAGCTTTAGAACAAACAACTAAGCAGGCAGATTTCCATCTAACAACAGGTCATATGTCTCTGCTGGTTTCCTGTGCCACTACTGCACCACACTGTTGTGCAATCACTAATAGGAAATACATTTGGAACAAATGCCAGGTCTTGTAACAGGAGTTAAAAGCGAACAGAAGGGTAGTGAATACCTGTTCAGGAGCTCATGTGGTGCAGAAGGGGGGCTGAGGGGGGAAGCTGCAAGAACCAGTCGCTCTGAAAGGCAGCCTGTGCACCAGATTTCAGTCTTGCTGGACTGTTTCTCAGCAATTCAATTCAGAAACACCCTAAATGTGCCTTTGTGCTGGAGAGATTTTTTTGACAACAAGAAACAAAATTAAGACTTTTTCCTTCAGTTTCGTAAGTACCTGTAGAGCAGCACGGTGCTGCTGGAGAACCGAGCGGTCAGACCGCAGGTGTTATCTGGCCAGCCCTTACGACCACCCTTGAAGGGGGAGCCTCGGCACCATCTTCTAAAGTTATTGTGTTTGTGTAGCTAAGCAGTAAACAAAGTTGCTACATTTTGTTTACTGCTAGCATGGTGTGATCACAGTTGCACCAAAAAGAATAAAATCCACCGTAAGGGAACAGACATATAAGCTCTGTTTGCCTCTGCACATGCCAGGGAATTTGCCCTTCTCTAAGGCAGCCTTGTGCCATCCTTGAAATATGGGAGATGCAGAAGTAGGGCTTTTGGTATCAATTCTCCTACCGAATGCCTGCGGCGATACACAGGGGTTTGAGACAGTCACCGAGTTGAGAGCTCGGATTCTTGCAGCTCTGGAGCACTAGAGTTTTCCTAGGAAAGGAAAGAGGGCGATACCTGCGTGTATGGCTGTGCTGCCCTAACAGCATTCTGCCTTACTGAGGAGAGTCAGGATCAGACTAGAGATGCAAGAGGACACTAGTGGCCACAAAGTGAGCAGCCTGATAACCCTCATTATCAATTTGCCTCCCAAAGGTTCGGGAAGTGCCTTTAATTTGTCTGACAGTCATTTATAACAGTCTAGGGATGGGAAAGGAGTCCAAACACATTACTGCTGTGCTGTAGCAGCAGTAATGCTGGCTGAAAGGGGAAAGGGCTGCAAGTGATTCACCAGCAACACGTAACAAAAGCTACTATGTTTGTGGCGAAGGCTCTGGTCCCTGCCCGGCCAAGGCGGACACTAAGAGGAGTGTTCATCATTCATTTGGGCCTTCTCACTTGTTGCAAGTCCAGTGGAGAAAGGGAAGAGCCAGACAGGGCACTGCTCCTCTGGGGACGCAGACACACCATGTAGAAGAGACAAGGCAAGCCGTAACGGGTTTCACTGGGAAGGCTTCTGGGGGATGGGCTACCCCCGCAGGGCTCCGGGTCCGTGCAAAACTGGAGAAGGCCAGGACATACTTATCTCCAGCTGCAAATCCAGCGAGAAGCTCGGGGACTAGAGGAGGCGGCTGGCGGGAGCGCTTGAGATGCTGCAGCTGTCCCGCCCGCCCCGCCGGGGCTGCAGCGTTTCCAGCTCGCCTTTCCTCCTCTCGGGAGCGCACAGAAGTACCCGAACAGCAATATCCCGTGGTCGTTTCACCTCCAGCCTCGGAGACTTTCGCGGCACCGGCTCTATCCGATCCGGCCACCCACCCCGGGCGGGAGCTCAGCCCCCAGCTCCCATCCCACCCCGGGGCACTTGCCGCCGGGACGCCAGCGCTTGGTCGCGGAGATGCTCGACCT